CACAGTCCTCAGAAAAACACCACACAAAAATGCCAGTGCTTCCAGCTAAAACACACACACCAACAAAAAAAATATATTGGAGTAGCTCAAGATATAGCCAAAGGTTGCAACGCCACAGCACTAATAAAAATTTAAATTTGCAGACTGAAATTCTTTCGGATAACAGACTTTCGGATAAACGAAGCTGTACTGTATTAGTATTTGATCGATTAGAATATGCCAAAAAAATTTATAGGGACTTATCCTTTAGAATTAAATGCAGGAATAAAGAAAATATTTGTATATTCTAATATAATAGAATCTCATCACATAGGCGATACTTTGACTCCAAATGTTTCAAGTAATTCCAATCATGGAAGAAAGAAGACCAACAAATTGTTAAAATTTATAATACTCCATTATCTTACCCTCTTTGAACGAATTACATCGAGAGTATATCTATAGATCTATGCTTTCGCAATGAATGAAAACATAATTTTTAGTTCTGGAAAATCGCTTTTGGTATTGTTTTCAGCAAGTATAAAAAACCATTTTTATGAAAGAATCATTTATTTAATAAAATGAAGCTTAAACCAGAGGACTGCATCACTTATTATCCTTGGCAGACATGGCAGATTTTTTAATCCTGATCCTAGTTCACAGACAGGAGGATTTTTTACTTTGATCCTATATTTCAGCAAATTCGTTATTTTACTCCACAATTGGGAAAAGGATAATACTTTTAAAGTAGCCCAATCCAAAGAAGATATGATTTTTTTGGAGACGTGTTTAGGCAACGATTTCAATATTAAAAGATGTGAGAAAATATATTGGAAAGTAAGTGTTAAATATAGCAAAATAAATCAGATAAAATTTATTCAGTGGAAAATCGTTAAAAGAAATATGCCTTATTATGAAATATCAGAAAATCAAATTCTCTCTGAAAGTTTTATAAGACAACATAAGGATAAAGTTAATTGGAAACTCATCTCTACACATCAAACATTATCTTCGGAATTCATTCAAGAATATGAAAATAAAGTGGATTGGGAAGCTATATTTCGATTTCAAAATTTAGATAATAACTTTATTAGAAAAAATGCCTTATCGCGTTTAAAAAATTGAAAAAGTAATAAAAGATGACGTCATTCATAAAGTTTAAAGCGGGTCAAGTAAAAATTGAAAACATCGAAAAAAAGCGTAAAACTAAAGAATATTAAGAGGAGAAAGGAAGTTGATATTTTCTCTTAAAAGAAAAATGCATCCTCATTCGTGTTCTTGTTTGAAATCAGAATTGTATTTCTTTAAAACTATTCCAACACAGTTGGCTATAGAAAATACAACACCGTCTATATTCCATCCTATTGCAAGCATAACTGACCAAAAATTACCTGTCGAATTTCTAATCCTGGGTTCAGTAAAAATCTTAATAGATTTGAGCAATATCTGAAGAAATGCACAATTAACTATATCTAAACAAAATGGAACATCTACATTGAATACCAATTTCGTTACTTCAGTAAATAATTTATTGCTTAGTATGTTTCACAATGCACGACTTGGTTTAATGATAAACAGGTATCATCGCAAATAACTATCCTTATCGAGCGGTAATAGAAGCTCTATTATTTTTGTCTGAAGAAGCACAAAAACACTTATTTAAGAAGCTTTTTTTTCTGCGAAGATACCATTGGATTTTAAACAATAACTATTTAAATAAAGATGCCAAGAATGAATGATTGATTGCTAGGTTCAAGAAAAGTAGCAAAAGTCAAGTATTAAATGTAAATGGACAATTTCATTTCAATTTTATTAATCAACACAAATTACTGTTAAATGGCTTTGATGTTTGAATAAAATTGGAACTTTCAAAAGACGCTTTTGCTCTAATAGGGACTACCAATAATTTTTACATTTGGTTAAAGAATATATCGTTAAAAGTAAACAAAATAGAAGTAAGTCCTAGAATCTTAATTGGAATAGAAAAGGCATTAGAAAATTCTGTAATTAAAATGCCTTATGTGAAAAATCAGACTTTTTTATGAGAATTTTATTACTTAGAGTTTTCATAAGTGTGAGAAATCAGACTCTCTTGTGAGAGTTTTGAGTGATGGAGTTTGTTTGGAATTTTCTTTCATCATTATTTCTCTTATTTCTCCTGTTTTCACCCTTTGCCCGAGGAGTCGACCTTTTGACCCCACTATGTACTCTGTCGTTTTGAAAGGTGACCTTTTCGTTCACCATACGGTGAAAAACTAGATCACGTTACTGAAGATTGCCAGTCACTACCCCAGGTAATGACGAATATAGTACTAATTGGTCAAGAGATGCCTATATAATTTTGTCACCAATGATGGGAGAGACGTTAATAAATCTGGAGAACTATCAAATTCAAGTAAACAACTCATGCTGCAAAGACAATTACGTGAGAAAAGTCCCAGATATTTTCCACGCTAATCGAGTATAAAAGGGGATCGCTCCCACACCTCTGGGCGATTATCGGGAAGAAGCCAAGGATTGGACTCCTCAAGCTTTCTCTGCCTTTGGAAACTTTGCAGCTTCTGATTGCTCCAAACGAGGTAAAGACTTAGAATATTTTTACTTCCCTCTTTCTCCGTTTAGTAGGGACTTAGAAAATAATCGCTTACCTCTCAGTTTAGTTTAGACTTAGAAAATATTCACTTTCTTTTTAGGTTTTAGATTAAGACTTAGAAAATATTGGATTGAGGATTTTCGGCAGTCCCACCATCGGGAAAGACAGACATCAGCTGTCTAATATTGTCGCGACGTAGATATATTTTTATCATCATTATTACTATATTTTGTGTTTTAGTTTAGAATGTAACTGCATGTATTTGTTTCCTTTTGTTATCAATTAAATAAGTTATTCTTAATCTTAATATTGTGTCATTTTTGAATACTGCCAACACCTTGTCACGACTTCACTACTCCTCCCACTCAGTTACCCAAGCATCCCTGACAATGAAGTCGATAAGTGGGGAGAAGCTCGCCGCTCTAACCCCCTCAGTTTACATGTATCAACGAGTAAATACTAAAGTATTTACTTCAAGTAAAGGTATTTTGAGCTCAAATATTTCAAATGTAATAATCCAAAAAAGAATTATAATTGAGGTGGTGCGTAATAATGTATTCAATGGACAGATTGATTAAATAGTGTACAGAAGAAAAACTACTTACGTAATACATAGTATTTGTAGTAAAACTTACCCATGTTTAAAACAGATGTGTAATGAGGCAGCTTTGTTAAAATTGCTGAATAATAAACCATATGAATGTAAATTTTTTATAATAAAAATTAAATTAACATTACCGATATTTAATAAATATTTATAAGCTGTGATTGTATGAAATGTAATAATAAATAAATATTTTATTTTCTAGAATTTGTATATTTTAAAAAGTTATCTGACAATGTTAAAACCCCCAAAAAGGCTTTTATGGGAGCAGCTGCATATGATCTATTTTGTACCAACAACTTTAAAATTAATACAAATGAACAAAAAGTAATATTCACAGATTTGGCTATTAAAATGACAAATAACTGTTATGCTAGAATAGCTCCAAAATCTTCTGTATCTTACATTATAATTAATGCAGGAACGATAGATTGTGACTACCACAAATACATTGGAGTCATGATGTATAATTTTAAACAAGAAATTGTTACATTTGCAGCAGGAACAGCTATCACACAAATAATCTTTGAAATAATTCTGCACTCAACCCTTTTAGAATTAGATTTATTAGACAACACTAACAAAGATGAAAAAGTCTTTGGTGACTGTATCTCGAAATTCTCTTTTTTAAAAAATAATTTTGTACTCAAATAAATTTCATAATGTAATAAATTATTACATGTACTCAAATATTATTCTGTATATGTTATCAATTCTCATTTTGTAATGTACTCAAGTATTTAGTATGTGTACTCAAGTTTTCAAATAAAACAACAAATAATGTAAACAATGTTTATTTCTTTGTAGACAATATGCAACTCCAATCGGCTGGGAAACTTTCTTGTCTACACCATTAGAATATACTATTTGTCACTTTAAAAATTAAGTTGATTTCCAAAATTTCAAAAATAATTCCATGTTATATTATTTGAAATTGTGAGACAAATTTTTTACTCTGAAATAATTCCATTAAACAAATTTTTATTTTTAAAATTATTTACTCAACAAACTTTAAAAATTAATTTTTGTGATTGGAGTGTGTCTAACCACTACTAATACTTATATAAATTTAAATAACCGACATGACTAAGTTCTTATCTCAGAAACTCTCACTGAAATCATGTTGGAAAGTATATCCGAAAGAGCTTCGAAAAAGGGTGTGGTTTTGGGTACGTGAGAGATTCTGGAATAGAAGATATTTCAAAAACCATCAACCAAAATTGGAATTATCCCAGAAACATCGTATTTTTACCCCTACTCGACGTCTTTTTCTCAAAAAGCTGACAGACTAAAATAAAAGTTATAAACTGTTTAACTTTTACAAAATTATCCCAGATGCTGCCAATCCTATATCACTTCTACCTAATAAACTATACCCATGGATGTCACATGATTACGCACTGAAACCTTTGTTTTAACTGTTCTACTTTAATGGTAATGAGAAAATATACATAAGCTTGTGGTTATAAACAGACAAATTTATATGTAAATTCAGAGACCACTCAGAAGACAATTCTACTTTATTTTAAACATTAAGAACTGAGTTTACGTTTGACCCCACCATTAAAACTATTTTCTGTCGTTGAAGCATTAGAGAGATTGCGGCCGACCTTTTCAACGCGAAAACGTGTACGTCGGACGTTAAGCACCACCTTCCTGTAAGCCTAGAAGTTTGACAATGGCGTTTGGAACGTCGAGCATGATTTCACTGACGTTCCAAACGCCATTGTCAAACGTCTAGGCTTACAGGAAGGTGGTGATGAACGTCCGACGTACACGTTTTTGCGTTGAAAACGTCGGCCGCCACCTCTCTATTAACTGGAGTTAATTTTCAGCAAAATAAGCTAAGAATTTCGCAGATTGTTGTACCACCACTATAGAGAAAACTGCATATAATATAAATAAGGCTACACACAATACCAAATGTGGCTGCCCAATAAACTAGTTGTTGTTATTTCTAGTAATTATTTCCGGATTAAAGGAAAAGATATACCAACAATTGCCGGAAGTTCGATGGTGTACATATACTAATAATGGAAAAAAATGTGAAAGTTTATTATTTTGTCACAATGTAGTTTGCAGATATTATGGCAGAACCTATTGCACTATCTAACAAGACATTTCAACGTGTGGACTTCTCAACAGTCTCGGATGTCGAACCAATTCATTTCTATATGAAACGGCACAAAAAGAAACTCACTTGGCAGTCAGTTCTAAACCCGTTCACAAAACAGGTAGAAATTTCTTGATACGTCATCTAGAATTTCTTAAATCGAGTCAGAAAATTATTTTTTCTAAAATGTATTATTTACTTTTCTTCTTGTTTCATGAAAGGTTTGGTTGACCTTGATCTTTACCATTACAGTCTTTGGATTAATATTCCGGAAATTCGTGAAAGTCAATAAAGGGGAACCCTGGACTTTAAGGAGAACGTACTGGTATCTGATGACAACGTTAATGTATCAAGGTAAATCTACACAATATACACTGTTTTCTAATTTATAATAGTAAATTATAACCTTTGGCATCAATTTTCAGGAGTCGACTGCAACAACGCGATTCGTTCATCTTCTAGAATAGCATTTGGCATCTGGTTGCTCATGACAGCAGTCTTGATCTGGGGTTACGCCGGAATATTGACATCATTTATGGCCGTACAGACTGACGAACCGGTTCCGAACACATTCGATGAATTAGCAGAAGCCATTAAAAGACGAGAATATACATGTGTACTGCTTCCACATGTTTACTTAGATCGATACTTAAAGGTAAATAGTACATTTAAACATTCTATTTAATTTTTACGTTGTTTATTTTGACTGTGCTACAATTTAAAATTTGTTGGGCTACAATTTAAAAAAATTTATAAATTTATTGGGCAACAATTAGAAAAAATTTATAAATTTATTGAACAACAATTAGAAAAATTGTTGACCTATAAAGTCCCATTGTTGTCTTTGTTGTGGTCGTCTGTCTGTCTTTCCTTAATCTCGAGAATGGAGTTGGACAGATGAATTCCGAGACCACATATGGAAATCATTGAGGCAGGAGGCCCAGATTTACTGTATACGAACTTCCGATGTAAAATCACGTTATTTTACTCAAAATTTTCCGCTGTAAGAAGTTAAATAAATAATGTTATGACTGTTGCTAACAGGAAAAATATTATGTACAGACGAAATACTCTAATAATTTGAGGTGGAAAGCATATATCTTAAATTGAATTTTTCAAATATGCTTAAAAATTGCAGTCCGATATTGTGACCACGTTACAATAAATAATTGCTCATATTATACTTATTTTATATTGTTTAGACATTAAGATTAATATATTTAGTGTCTTAAATCACTGTATGATATGGTTTATTATCAAAATTGTGACTTTGGCGAATTTCTTGTTGAATGTTTCTCGGAGATTTTTCGGTTTGAATAACATTCTTACTGATGAAAACAGAAAATACAAAATATATTATTTTTTCATAAATAAAATCGTTTTATATATTTAAGTAATTATTTTTATTGACGATTTCTGACGCTCACACAAAAAAGAATTATTTTTATTTTAAATATTTCATTAGTAAAGTATTATGTATATATACAATTGAATATTATTTGATTAGAAATTATTTAAAATGATGTATTTTTGTCTTATATTAAGTGGTTTTTTTACCAGAAATTTTAAAAGCACAAAATGTAATTATTAACAGAATTTAATTTTTAACGTAAAATTATAAAATTTTTAAGTTGAAGTCATTCGAATTGCGACAGTTGTGTGTTTTAAACAAACAGAACATTTTATTTTGGTCACGTTTTATTTTTGTGAGGTCAAGAAAATAACTACAGGATAATTAAAATTAAACTCTATTCAACCGAATTAAATGAAACACAGTACGCATGCAATTTGGATCACGAAGAAAAGGATTACGGTGTGAAAATTAATTGAAATTATCACCATCAATAAAATGCGGCAGTATTCGATCGAAATTATATATTTTTGGCCGTGAATTTATTTAAAAGATTGTGCTAAGCGGAGCGTGTGCACACCTCATCGGTGGTGAAAAACAAAATTGTAGGACATGTCTTCATATTCCTTCCGAAAAGTAACATTAGCTAGTTGAAACTAACGTTATTCTTGTAATAAAATGTTGGCCACTTGTCTTAAAACTGTCATCCTTGCAGCGACAAATTTTCTTTGGTGATAAAAATTTCAACTAAATTTTTATATTTTTAAATTTCTCCCTTACGAATTGCATTCATATGTACCGATTTTTGTTCATTTTTGCTTAGTGCAGCAAGCTCTTCGCACGACGTTAGTTCAATAACGTTAGTTCAAACCACTGCGTATTTCCTAATTTGTAGAAATTTCGATTTTTAAAGAATATTAATTAATGAGATTTGTTTTTCTTCTTTATAGGAGACAAGAACAAAACACGCAGACCTTTTTATTACAGAAAGCCGAAAACATATTTCTGTTATGCAAGCAAAGATGAGACGACAGAACGATACATTCAAAAAAAAATTTTACAAGGATTCATTAGATAGCGAAGCTAAAGGTCATCAGGAAGCGATAGTTTTACTAAATAAACTGATTAAGGACCTTGTTAAAAAAGATCGAATGGTGGTTATTGGAACTCCTTACTTTGAAAGACTTGCTGCAAATGCTTATGGATCAAACTATGTGAAATCTGATTATGTTCTTTCTACAGTTTATAAAGGATTCGCCATGAGAAAAGGATTTCCGTATAAAAAACAAGTTAACAAACTGTAAGTTGATAATTTACTGATGATCAAATATTTTAAAAAATTACAACCATTACAAATTATTTGTGCATTTCTAGAGTACGAAGAATATTTGAGACAAAAATTTTTAAAAATGAAGAAGTTGTTAATGTACCCAGTTTTGAAGATGCGGTGAAACCTTTATCCGTAGCAGATTTATACGGTGCACTTGGAATCCTCGTTATAGGATACACTTTGTCCTTTGCTTGTTTCCTCACTGAAATAATTCTTGGAAAGTTACTCAAATAGAAACGTTGGCTTATATGTTTCAGCAATTTCAGCTTAACCTGCACGGCATCAATCTTTAAAAACTTTACATATGTGGAGGCATTCAGCGAACAGCGACGCTGCAGATGCTATAATAAAGCGTATGGCTAAAATAATGCTACGTGACGTCGTTATCTGAAGGCATTTTAGAAGAAATATGCCATTGTTCGAGCAAATATCTACTCGGTTACAATAAATCGCTTTAAAACAGCACATTTTCTCTTTTTGTGGGTCATTTTTTAAATGATTAAAAAAGTATATTAAAATTCGACAAACTTATCTTTAATTTAAGTTTATCGTAAGTGCAGAAGAACAAAAGAGAATTGCAAATACAATGATACAATACGCATAAATGTTTTGCTTATGGTTTATGAATCAAAAATACATATGTTAACGAAGCGAATACGACTAGCCAACCTTGCACCACTATACAGAATGGGCGCTAAATGCATCTATTTTTTTCACTTTTTATCTAGTTATATTTTTAAAATGCATTTGTCAAGTACACAAAAAAAAAATCTTATAATGTAAAATATTGAGAAAATGCTGCGCATTCACGAGTGGTGTCCGAGTAAAAAATTATCGAACTTTGGTATTTGGTTTCGGGTTCGTACCCCACTAACGAGCTTGGCTGTTTGCAGTTTTCCGGGTTTTCTCCACGTGTCTGAAAATTGAATAGGAACTAGTTTGCTTTAGAAGGTCCTCGAGGAAAGGATCTCTCCTTGGCAGATTGTATTTTGTTTCGTTACATAAATTCTTCAACTCATTGCACTCAGCTCTGCGTGTATTTCTACACTTAATCTTTTAAATTTTAAACCGTTGTGAACGAAAAATAATGTGATTACTTTCCCAACATCAGTCAACTGTAGAATTACATTTGACAATATTATGCATAAAATTCATTAATTTACTCAAATAACGATGTAAGAAATTGTTGTAATTGGTTTTAATTTACGTATTCTATATTTTAATAAATGAAAGTAAACACGTTTATTCTACTTAGTACCAACTTAGAATAAATTTCAAGTCTAGAATTGAGTTAAACACTTGATATCCACACAGAGAGCAAAATTTATATCTTTTTTGATACAATTCGAGGTCCTCGTAAATTCCTTATTTATGTAATTTATAAATAGAAAATTACACCTATCGGTAGAATTACGCGTATTATAATTAACTTAACGTATTGTAATTGCAGTGTATGAGACTTATAATCTGAGAATTAAATGTAATTTGTAATTGAAAAATACGAGTTTCCATTTTATTAATCAAAAACATTTTATTTTATTTTATTTTTTGCTTGGCTCAATGTCACGACTTGGTGAATTTATAGACACTTGGCAAATAATTTATCATCAACTTTTTAATCAACAACCTTTACTTATAGAGACGCGTTTCTGGCTTTCGCCCCTCTTCAGTCTGTTACACAATAAACATGTGTATGAGTTTCTCATAATACATAATATTTTTATATGATAATTAGAAAAACCTACCATGACAACCTAGATAGCATACATGTGACGATCGAATTTCCCGTTACAGGGTTACATTTATCCTATACGTCTAGGTGATTTTAGGTGTTTTCCTCGTAGATAGGTTGTATCTGGTAGACATCTGTCCGGCACCTTCCGCACTACGTCTTCCCTACAGTGGCTAGAAAATATAGTGTCGAAATCGAGCTTATTTTCTGTCCCTATATTGGAGGTTGCCGCAAGAGGCGCTGCTGTCAATCGTTGTGCTACACAGGCTGTATCATCCTATGTTTATATTGGTTTTAAGTGGGATTTTTAAGCATAGTAAATGTGCTGTAGCCAAGTAAAAGAATTTAGATCGATAATAAATCATATCACTAGCAATCAATTATTATATAGTATTACTTTATTAACATTTATGAAGGAATTCATTTTATTAAAGCTAATTAAGATTCTTATTAAATCAAATAGCCTACACTGTATTGTCTATTTTTACATTACAGCTGTTGAGTGCTGTACAAACAAGTATTATTTAGAGTACAAGAGTAATCTACTCTTGTTATTACCTTATTAACAACAAGGTTTATTCATATTTACTAAAAAAATACAGAATTTATCATATTTTTAATAATAAAATGTAAGTTTTATATGGCTTTGTGAACCTCTTCCACTGTGAGGGCCTAAAATAGAATTTATTAAGCAAATGCCATCAGTTACATAATACTGTATACTGTTCACAGTATTATGTGACATAGTATAAAGCAATATTAAAATTACAATTAAATTCTACACAGTATATAAAATATAAAGGCAGAATGTTACTTTATTGTCCCAATATAAAATTACAAAATTAAGTATGTACAAATAAACGATTATTAGTCTACTGCCAAGTACCCATGCATATACACTTTATATTTGAAAAATCTCTCTTAAAAAATTACAGATTAATATGCATGTAGATTTCTCACCCTTTTCGACAAAAATAAAAGAATTAAAAATTACAGTAGAGTAATATCTATAAATTAGAAATACACAAGTCAGTAAAGTTTCTGTTCAGCCATTTCCTAAGGATTTATTCACTTTACAAGCACAAATTTAATCGCTTTCGATGTTCTTGTAAGAAAGGATATCACGTAGCCAAAGCGAAAGTAGCACTACGATTGACATCAGCGCCACCTTGTCTGTGACGTCACTAACCTCGATGTATGGACCGAACGGTTATGATGGAGGAATATAAGCGCTTTCGACACTATATTTTCTAGCCACTGTAGTCTTCCCACCTACCTTCCCCTCCCTACTAACTTGACTGCTTCCCCCGTTTGCCTGGCAACGTGCAACATCTCTTCTAGAATACTTCCTACAGCCACGGATACAACTGTATAAATATTATCCATCTCTGAATACTCCATCAAACACACAGATAAACTTATACGCGACGTGAAAAATATATAAATAAAAAAAAATTACAAAGTAGCAAGCCTATATATACTGAAGTAAATACAGTAGAGAGTCGATTTTCCGAAAGTCAATCATCCGAAAGATTTCCAGTCAGCAAATTTAAATTTTCGCCAGTGCTGTGGTGCTGCAATCTTTGGCTATATCTTGGGCTACTCAAATATTTTTCGTTTTTGATACTAAATTAACATCTGAAGTATGATTTTTTATTGCTTATATATTTTCCAATATATTTATTTTGTTCGTACAAAATAAAAAAATAATTTTTAACGATACAATAGTCTTTGTTAGGCTTAACATCAACGAAAATTCAACGCGAAGCGACACGCAACGGAGAAAAATTTCAACATCGGATACGTTAAACTATTTTTCGTACATAAATCGGTTATCCGAAGTATCAGTTATACGAACAACCCCAGTCCCCAATTGATTCGGAAAATCGACGCTCTACTGTACGTACCCTTCGATAACCTCGAACCTAATATAAAGTACACTGAAAGAGATTGAAGCAAAAGAAGAAGAAATTAATTTAATAGAATTCGTATATAAGAGTAATTCTTTTGAAGTTAACAATAAGTTTTACACACAGCAAACAGGCATAAGCATGGAATCAGTCGTAGGCCCGCAACTAGCAGAACTTGTAATGGTAGATATAGATTTAGTTATCAATAACGTTACAGGCATAAAGTTTTATAAACGATATGTGGATGATATAATTATACTATATGACCAAGACATAATAAAATTAGAAAAAATAGAAAAAAAATAAACAAATTAAATGATAATATTAAACGTAAGGTCGAAAATGAGACAAAACACAGCAACAAACTACCTAGACATTGAATTAACCAGAAAGGCAAACAGAATTGAATTCGAGCCACATACAAAGCCATGCGATTAATGAGATTAATAAGTTTATAAACTACAATTCAAAAATCCCACAGTACATAACAGAATACATATTCAACATGGAGTATGCAGAACAAACTCATTGCAGAAGAAGAAAAAACATCTTAGCGAACTACGAACTAAATTTCTATTAAAGTACTATCGACAACGAATAATAAAAAACTGGGAAAGTAAAATCTATACTAATATAATAATAATAATAATAATAATAATCATCTTTATTTGGCGTAAAAGGCTTTCGCCTGTTACAAGGGCGTTTGATTTTTTTGACAATGCGTATTAACATCACATATAATCATGTCTTAACAACACTGANATTTTATTCTCTAATTTAATTATAACAGCAATAACATAGTCCGTTGTATATTGTAGGAATATTTCACCTAATCTTTTCTTAATTAATAGTAGAATTCCACCTGATGGACGTCCAAATTTATTTTTTCGTTGGGCATTACTAATTATTATATTATTTTCTTGTTCTAGATATTTTATTTCCATTTCATTAAATTTTATAATCCAGGTTTCTACAAATCCAATTATTTCTTTTGAATCCAGAAATTTTCTCATTGAAGTTTTAAATAATTTCCCTCTTAGTCCTTGAATATTCCAGAAGTTTATCATCACATTATTTATTACCCTTTTTGGAATTTCTATTGTTTTCTCACTCAATTCATTTACTTTGACTGTCAAATTATCTTCACTCATTTTCTTGTTTTTATTCTCCATATTATTAGCCATTTTCCTTTTCTTCTGTATTATTTTTAAATTTTGATTTATTTTTGTTAATCTTGTATTATATTTATCTCTAAAAAATGATTTAACTGAATTATTTCTTTGGTATTCAAATCATATGTATACATTATTTTATTTTTTAAAAAATAATCATCTCTAATTCTTATCTTTTCATCCGATTTCTCTAGTTTAATCGTTTTTAATAATAATTTTCTCCTAATTCTAGATCTATAGCATAAGTCCGTTGATATTATTATTTTTTTATTTTCGTCCGTCATTTTCGGTCTTGTAGTCCAAAATTTATTAAGAATTAGATTTCTATCTTTAACCGAATCGGTCATAACCTTAATTACTTGATTATTTCTTCTATTTCCAATTTGAATAAGTCCTTCGATTTCTATACCATTAAGCTCTAAGTTATCTTTTATAAATTTTTTAAATTCTTCTACATATTCCGAGGTTTTAAATGGAAAATTAAATATAATTAAATTCTTCTTAGTTTTCTCATTTAACATTTTATCAATTTCAAAATCCATCATACCTTTTAACTTGCTGTGCGAATCTGTTCTTTCTTCTAATAAACGTACTTTTTTACACATATCTGTCAACTGTTCCTTGAGCTTTAAATTTTCTTCGTTCATTTTGTTGATTTCGGCTTTCATGGAACGGATTTCGAAGTTTAAACTATCAAATTTGTC